GAGATATGGCCGTTCAAAGTTTCAATGGTTTTCCATAGACTTAAGCTTCAAAAGCATTTCATCCAGGTCGTCAGTAGCAAACAATGGTGCGCGCTCTGCTGGACAAACTAAGTAATTACACCATTTCAATCATTTTATCTGCGTTATATGTTCTGTAAAAAAATTTCATATTGACGGCATATTCGCCGGTACCGATATATCGGCAACAGGCTCATATCGGCCGATAATATCGGCAAAAACAATATATCGGTCGGGCTCTAGTAATGTTGTTCGCACACGTGTGACTGCTGTATAGATCTGAATGACTCATGAATGAAGCTCCTTCAGTACCTTGTCTCTCGTCGTTCGCTCCATCGTGTCTTCGGCACAGCTCAGGAATGCTCTTGTACTGAGACAGGACACACATCAGACGGGTTAAAGGTCATCAGACACTGATGCTACAAACACCGATCATGCTGAAGGAATGATGGGAAATGAGCTGTTCCTGTAGCTACACAAACTCATGAGTCTGACTTCCAGGAAACATCTGAGCAATTCAACGAATCCAAATGAACACACAGAGCAATACATCAGGAACAAAGACTGTAATCTACGTAAACTCTATTCAGCATAATTCAATCCTAGAAATGCATATTTAACATTTAATCTACTTTAAACTGTTTAACTACAGCAGCGTTTCTCAGAAGAATTTCATGAGTTGATGGAAAGCTAATAATTAAATCGTTAAAATTAACAGTTGAACATAAAATACAACAAAAACAAAAATAAAAACATTTACATAAAATGAAATCAAATAGTAAAATTTAAATAAGTTTTAAATAAAAGGCATATAAATACAAAATAAAACAAAAAAACCTGACTATTAATTAAACCATAGAAATGAAATGTTGAAATTTTTTTTCAATAAAAACAAACAAAATAAAAAATTTACAATAAATTAATGAAATCATAAAAATGTAACCAATATTTTTTAAATAAAAGCAAAGCATTTAATAAACATTAAATTGTAATGTTAAATTAAAATAATGAAATCAATATAAGTAAAAACAAATAAAAATAAAACACTTAAGAAATATGAAATATTTTATTTGTTTAGCAGCATGTCATGTGACCATTAACCAACAAAAATGTTAAATTTAAATGAATACGTTTAAAATAAAAAGAAACTAAATAAAATACTTACTAAAAATTAATTAAATAATAAAAATGAAAAGTTGAAATAAATCATTTTAAAATACAACACATAATAAAAAAGTATTTAATCAAAAATTTAAAATTTTAATAAAAAATAAAATGCTTACTAAAAATAAAATCATACAAATGTTAAATTCAAATAAATAAATTTTAAGATAACAAATCAAAATAAAACATTTTAAGACAAGACATATTTTATTAGTTTATCTGCATGTCATGTGACCAGTAACCAACATCAGAGAACCGTGAACATTTAAATGTGCTGATAATTTATTGAAATATTAACTTAAAATCTCAGGAGTAAATATTTTAGCTCAAATGTGTTTAGCTTATAAAAAAATGTTTGGGAATCGCTGTATTACACCAGGGGTCGACTGATTATCGGCACCGATACTAAGCTTTTTTATGGTTATCGGTATCGGTCATTTTCAAAACTGATTTGCCGATAAAATAATTTAAAAGCATTTAAAGAAAGTTTTTGTCAGAGCCCTTGTTATTTTTAGTTTTGACATTAATTTTCATTTTTACACCAGACATACCGGTTATCGGTCTACTTGATCTGTAATAATCGGTATCGGCCCTGAAAAACACATATCCCTATACTATCACGTGGGATGAAGATCCATACGTCACTTCAAAACACAGAAATATGATTTGGCTGATTAATAGAGTCTTAACACATGATCATAAACTCACAGGTAAATCATCAGTGAAGTCGATCTCATCCAGATCCAGGTATTCAGGAACGTCCATCTTCAGCCAGCATTCTGAGAGACACACACACACACACACAAAATACCCCACCTCCGCCCTGGCATCATGCCATCCATATGCCCCAGGGGCTGCTGGGAGCTTAGCGATACTAAACACAGACAGAACAAACAAAACACTGGCACCAGGTGGCGAGACCCGCGCTGATCCTGGATCAGCTCACTTTACCAAAACATTATCTTGGCCAACACAAAACAAACTGGTGGATATTCATGAGATGATGAAGATGCAGCTGTCTGTGTGTGTATAGTGTATGTCTCTCTGTGTGTGTCTTTTGTTTCTAGCATTAGCTTTAGCTTTAGCATCTCCCGTGCTCTCTCCGGTTTCCCGCGCGTCTCTCGGTCTCTCGCGTCGGATGTTGTGTGTGTCTGCCCGTGCTCTCTCCGTGTTTCTCCGGTTTCCCGCGCGTCTCTCGGTCTCTCGCGTCGGATGTTGTGCGTGTCTGTCGTAACGTTACCTCTCGCCCGCTGCTGTCTGTCGCCGCTCGTCTGTCGGTGTTTCTGCCGTTTACCGGATCCTCTGAAGAATGTGACACGAGCGCGCGCCTCCCTCAGCGTCCTCAGCGCGCGCGCCCCCGACACACACGCGCAGACACGCGCACGCACCAGCAGAGGGCGACAGACGCAAACAAACTCATGAATCTGATTGAACTCGCATCTGAGGAGCGCGATGTCTTTGAAGTATAAAACTAAACACACACGCTCTGACAATACCACGCACTTCTGTTATTATATACAGTGCTGTTCAAAAGTGTGGCATCAGTAAGATTTGATATGTGTTTTAAAGAAGGCTCTTCCGCTCACTAAGGCTGCATTTATTTGATCAAAAATACAGTAAAATTGTGAAATATTATTATAATTTAAAACAGCTGTTTTCTATGTGAATATGTGTTAAACTGTAATTTATTTCTGTGATGCGCAGCTGTATTTTCAGCATCATTACTCCAGTCTTCAGTGTCACATGATCTTCAGAAATCATTCTAATATGCTGATTTATTATCAGTTGTGCTGCTTCATATATATATATATTTTTTTTTTTTGAACCTGTGATACTTTTTTCAGGATTATTTGATGAATAAAGTAAAAATAACAGCATTCATTTAAAATAGAAATGATGCTGATGAAAATTCAGCTTTGAAATCACTGGAATAAATTAAATTTTAAAGCATATTAAAACAGAAAACCATTATTTTAAATGGTAATAATATTTCACAATATTTTTCTGTATTTTTGATCAAATAAATGCAGCCTTGATGAGCAAAAGAGACTTCTTTAAAACACATATCAAATATTACTGATCCCAAACTTTTGAACAGCAGTGTGTATCTAGCTATATAACCTGACACTAACAGAAAACTTACTGCATTTATTTATTTATTTTTATTTTATTTTTTATTTTTTTACATTTTTACAATTTAGAATGTAACTTTATTTACTTGTTTTAAATTAAGATTAAGAGTATTTTTTATTTTTTATTAGGATTAATTTATAATTTCTTAATAAATTTAATAAAATGAATACATTTAAAAAATTAATTTTGATTCTATTTTTACTAATGAAAATTTTTTTAGTCAGATATAAATCATGTCTGGATACAAAAATGTCCCCAAAGTATGGTTAAACACCGACACAAACTCTCTCACACACATTCATATTCACAAGGCTCTTAAGTTTTCTTTTCTCCATTTATAACTGAACTTTATTTGCTTAATTTTTTTATTAAGATTCATTTGGATTTTTTTTTTTTTTTTTTATTTAGATTAATTTCAATTAAATAATATAAACATCAAATAAATGGTAAATTAATTTGAATTAAAAGTGAATTACATTTTTATTTTATTTTTACAAATGAGGAGGTTTTCTCAGATTACTTCACTTCTGTCATCAAAATATGGTTAAAAACAGTAAAGCAAATGCACACCTTATGGAGGTGCAAGTTAGGGAAAAAGACTAATTAAACACACATATTCATATTCACACAGCTCTGATGATCAGTTATGCTCCTCTTCACTCAATTAATAAGAACACATGAAAATTAAGAAAACATATTCTCATCTGCGTTTATTCAAGTTTGTGCCTCCTAAACTAAAGTGACGTATAATATCAATAGCACCTCTAAGAGGCTGAAAAAATAATAATCTTAAAGCACACAGATAACATAACGTGAAACATAAATCTTATTAAACGCTCTTGATTTTTTCATCATCATTAAAACTAAACCAAACTATTTGTGGAAACATTACGATTAACAGATAATACGTTGAAAACAACCTCGACTCTTTCAGAGTAAAAAGCAAGATAAAACACTACAACTACGACTGGATGGAGTTTTATCATTATTTGGCACTAATAAAGACAATACCGTAAGGCTTTGCTGTGAAATTATTACCCAGCTAACAGAGAATGCACCCTTAATGTTTTTGTGTTCAGAAATGTTCCACGTCTTTGTAACATTTTCAAAATGATAGAATAGAATGTTTGAATAGCCACGTTTTTTAAATACAAAAACGGATGTTTTAAACATTCAAATGTAACATTCTCATAATGGAATGTTTCACATAACCGAGAAGAAGCGCTGGTAACATTGGCACTCCGAAGTAATGTTTTAAAGGGAATGTTAGGAAGCATTCTCAGAACATGTTTTTGTTGGCTGGGTTAGATTGGTGTCTGTTATAATTCTGCGTTATTATTTTCACAGATACTAGCTTTATCTCTGCACAGTAAACACAGCTGGTCTGCGATCATCATCAGGCCGTCCTGGTTTCTCTCTCGTATCCTAGTGTCTGTGAAGAGAAGGATTGCAGGATTAACACACGAGGTGGTTTCTTTCAGGTAGGATGAAGAAAGCGCGTCACTTACGGCGTCACGCTGCAGCCGGACACGTGCGCGGAGTCTCCGGTGTAGTGAACGTCGCAGCGAACTATATTATTGCTGAAGTCTGACTCCGACACCTGGAAGCCTGGGTTTACTGTAATCTGAAATAAAGCACATCAGATCCTTGAGAAGATCCGCAAACGAACAGCGGCGCATGTGGAGGGTTTCTGACCTTCAGCGTGTAGCGTCCCGGCGGGACGTCTGTGATATCGATCCACTGACAGTCGATGTCCGCGCTGTACGTGTCGTAACATCCGGGACTCAAACCCTGCGATGGAGAATAATTACACCTCGCCACACTGCCTCTGACATTTGTGCTCGCTGCCGTCTGTATTGCTGGGTAATTACGCACCTGCGTGTGAGACGTGCAAGCGTAGCGCCGGTAGTATCCCGGGTCACAAGACGTGTCCTCCAGACAAAAACTAGCTTTATGGCCCTCTGCGACGCGCTGCTGTGTGCCGGAGTCCAGCAGGTCGTAATGACAGAACTCATTCATGCTGTGATAGTGACTGACCACAACAAAACATCAGCAGCAGCACACCGACATCTTCTGCTCTTTAGAACAGCTTTCTTCAAAGCCAGCAATCTTTTGCCATTCGGAAGCTTATTATTGTTTCTGAAAGAGTCTCTTCTGCTCATCAGAGGTGCATTTATTTGATCAAAAATACAGTAAAAATGTGAAATATTATTATGATTTAAAACAGCCGTTTTCTATGTGAATATCTGTTAAGCTGTAATTTATTTCTGTGATCAAAGCTGTATTTTCAGCATCATTTCTCCAGTCTTCAGAGTCACATGATCTTCAGAAATCATTCTAATATGCTGCTCAACCAACATTTCTGATTATTTGCCATTCGGAAGCTTATTATTGTTTCTGAAAGAGTCTCTTCTGCTCATCAGAGGTGCATTTATTTCATCAAAAATACAGTAAAAATGTGAAATATTATTAGAATTTAAAACAGCCGTTTTCTATGCGAATATCTGTTAAACTGTAATGTATTTCTGTGATGCGCAGCTGTATTTTCAGCATCATTACTCCAGTGTTCAGTGTTGAAAACATTAATATTTGTGTGCAAACCGTGATGCAGTTTATTTTTCAGGATTCACAGATGAATAGCATTTATTTTTTGTAACATTATAAATGTGTGCACTGATCCTTGAAGTGTTTCTTTTTAAAGCAGTAAATATTTCACTTTGCATCACACTATAAATAATTGATTGTATCATTAGCAGTTATTCTGTGAAATGCAGTGATGTGTATGTGTGTGTATTTCTCCTCACTTGTGACAGCTGTGCCATTCCCAGGCGTATCTCGGTCTGCTGGGCAGAAAGTCTGCGGTGCCTTGATTCTTCACGCGCTGCGGGAACCTCAGCAGAACCCTGGTGTCGTAATCTCGTGCGTCTGCAGCCGAACTGAGGAACACAGCGGGACACTTCACGGATTTTTCAACAGGTTCAGCGGAGAAACCTCTTATCGAGAAACCGTTCTGGCTTTCTCCTGTGACATCTTCAACATCCCAGCCAACAGGGAAAGCTCCCATAACACTCACTAACATTTTTGAATGGTTATGTAAATGTTAGGACAAAATGTTTTTATAACATTATTCATATTTGATAAACGTTCTTGAAATGTTGAGAGGAAATGTTCATCCTCATGATGTGATTTGTACGTTCAATAACATTCTTCAGTTATAACAATAGAATGTTCTCATAACATTTTTCAAAATCTAGAATAGGATGTTTCTCTAACATTCGCATAACAAGGAAAAAAGCATTCTTTAAATTTAAAAAATGCATGTTTTAGATGTTGAGAGAACATTCAAATGTAACGTTCTCAAAATGATAGAATGGAATGTTTCAATAACGTTCAAGAAGAAACGTTCTTGATACATTAAAACACTGGACGTTTAAACAATATTCAGAAATAACGTTTTCATAATGGTTTATAAATTATAAAACGTATAATGTTTGCATAAACAAGAAGAAACGTTCTTTAGATATAAAAAAAAGGGTGTTTTAGATGTTAAGAGAACATTCAAATGTAACACTCTCATGTTCAAAATGATCGAATGGAATGTTCCTCTAACGTTCGCATAACCAAGAAGAAAAATTGACATTTAAAAACACTGAGAAATTATATTTTCATAATGTTTTCAAAATGATACAATGTAATGCCTCTCTGATGTTTGCATAACCAAGAACTAATGTTCTTCAAATGTAAAAAAAAGGTGTTTTAGAGGTTTAGAGGACAATTACATTTAACATTATCATAACATTTTCAAAATACAGATTAAAATGTTTCTCAAAAATTTACATAAACAAGAAAAAAAATCGTTCAAGTAGCCTATATAAAAAAACACGTGTTTTAGACATTCACATAAAATGTTCAAACTCCTCTAACGCTCACATACCAAGAAGAAACGTTCTTTAGATGTAAAAAAAAAAAAAAGCATGTTTTAGATGTTGAGAGAAACATTCAAATGTAACGTTGACATTTTCAGAATGATAGAATGGAACGTTCCTCAAACGCTGCAGAAGAAGCGTTCTTAAAGCATTCTAAGCAGACGAGCAGCACCTGGCCAGACAGTTCTCCTCCGCGGCGCACCGGAGGCTGTACATGGGCACTCTCTGGACATACGTGGACACCTGGATCATGTAGGGATCCACCACCAGATCCGGGAGACCTGTGGGCATTCATGAGAGAGAGTTTCATCAT